TGTGTGTGTGTGTGTGTGTGTGTGTGCCAGTGTCTGTGTGTGTGTGTCAGTGTCTGTGTATGTATGTGTGTGTGTGTGTGTGTACATATGTGCGTGTCTGTGTGTATGTCTGCAGTTGCATGCCTTGCATTTGCAGTTGAGTATTAATGCTCAAGTTTGCTCGTGCAATCCTATCCTTCCTCTTGTCCTCCCTCAACATGCTAACTTTGCAGCCTTTAATCTTGCATCCTCAAAAACTATCTCCATCTTACCTCATCCATTTCTCCTTCATCTCAATCCTCTCACCTTTTTAGCACCAATTCCTCCTTACCCTTTCTCTTCTTCCTTCTGTTCCTCCTCCTTCTCCTCCTCTTCATCTTCCTCCTCCTCTTCCTCCTCCTCCTCTTCTTCCTCTTCCTCTTCTTTCTGTTCCTCCTACTCCTCTTTCTCCTCTTCTTCCTTACCTCACTTTTCCCTTCTTTCATCCCTCATTTCGAACACCATATGTTTTCACAAACTTCAACACTATTACGTTTCACGGTCTATCCCCCCACCCCCTTCCGTTCTATATTCCTCCTTTTCCTCTTCATTCCGTTTCCGATCTGCCAAATATCTACCTTCTATGACCCGCTGATCATCCGGAAAAGCCATTTTCATTTGACGTATGTCATATATTCGGCTATTGTTTTGCTACTTTTCCAATCTTTCATTCCGGTTTTCTTTTTTTTTTTTTTTTTTTTTTTGAGAAATAAAATATATGTAGACAGTGGAGAAGTGTAAACAGAAGTGATCATTGCAAATTGTTAATTAAAATTCGAAAAAAAATTTAATGTCTAAATTTGAAGTGGTTTGTCACCTTACGATTGAATAAGAAAAAAAAAAAAAAAGGAACTATTTGCAGTAATTTGGTTCATGGACAATAGCGCCATATGCATTTGTATGACATATTTATTCTTCTAAGCAAATAATATCGTCATTTAACAGAATAACGTTATTTATTACAGTTAAGATATCAAATGTTACGTTTTTATTCAATAAAAAGTTTTAAATTGGCGCTTTTCATTTGGTGCGGCAGTATGCAACAAAACAAATGGACTTACGCCAGGTGGCGACAACTGATGAGGAAGAAGCGCGACAAAATTTAGAATGATAAAAAATAATGAGTGATATAGATTTGTTATCAATTTCCTGGTGAAATTTTGCTAATATTGTTGTTCGAGAAGCGTAAATACTGGCTAAAATTTACCAGATAAATGCATTATTGGTAGCTCTCAGTTTTTTTTCATTCTTTTACTAGTGACTCTTTCAGTTTACTCTCTTCAATTCTTCAATAACTGTTCCTTTCTTGATTTACTGTTTCATGCTTTTCTATTCTTCCTGATTATAATAAGGTTTCCAGTCCGAATTTCGGGTTTGCCGATTTGTGTGGCTATTTTTTTTTCTCTCTCTCTCTAAACGATTCATTCTGCTCGTTGTTTATTTTACTTTCTTTTTAGTTCGATAGTAAATCGGTGACAAACAGTACACATTGATTTCTCGTCACTTGTCGTAACTTTATCATCATGTGAATAGCCATAATTTCCAGAGTAGTTGTAAATTACTTTTGCTATATCCTTAAAATTTGGAAAAATGAATTTCGTAAGCTAACATTTGCCTCCATATTAGTATTCATACAAGTAGGTATAGTGAGGATTTTTCCTCGGGAAAATGTCAAAAGACGAAGAAAAATGAGGTATTAAATTTTAAGACTGAAAACAGCCGAAATATTAGATTTCGAAACTTCTAATAAAAGGAAACAATTCCAGTTCATATTTAGGATAACGCGGTATTTTTCATTCATCAAAGGTTAATGTTTTCTATTGATGCTCTAGTCTTACTCAATAAAATTAATTCGTATAGTGATGATTCACTTGAAATATTACCTGATTTGAATCTTCGTATGACTGATGTCTTCGTCTTATTTGTTCGTGTTATACGATTCCTGAATAGGTGTAATATTTACAGAGCTGGACGACATAATCGAAACTCAATCGAAATTGGCACAGGGAAGTTGGTACAGGTGTGCGAGGTGTCTTCCATCTTAGTAGAAGGTAAAGGATTATTAAACTATAAAAAAGTGATAATTTCGTTTAAGATGTAAATGGTGACATTTCATTGTATTCTTTAGTTTATTTGAAAAATCTTTCCTCCCAGCAAATGAATAAAACATCTGAGAAGGAGTCATTTTTCATATTTTTAACGATGGTTAAAGCGCTTAGTTCAGAAGGATCATCGGAGGAAATGGAATACATAAAACTTCTAGCGACTTTTTTCTCCCGAACAGTGATCCTCTTTGGTGGTTACCTTGTGCTCTTAGTTTTCCAGAGGTTTTAAAAGAAAAAAACCTTCTAAATTGGAAAAATTAGAAAAAAATTTTTTTTATAAATTATTATAAAAATTAAAAATTAGAAAAAATCAAAACTTTAAAAGTTTAGGAAAAAAGTGGAGAAGTAGAAATTAGGAAAAAATTAGAAGAAAAAAATGGAACTGAACATGATAAAAAAGATTCTTCATGTAACCTACCATAATATTTTGTAGTTTGTCTTAAATTTTTAAAGTAGGTCCTCCAAGTTTTTCTTTTTTTTGGTATCTATTTGATATACCATTGTGTTTAATGAGAGGAGGGAGAATGAGAAAGAAGGGGCATAAAATAAGTTTTGCATCAAATGAATGAATGAATGAATGTTAGGAGGTTATGTAAATTTGCTCTTTCGTGAAATTTTAATCCTGAATGCTATTGCTACAGGGAGGTGTAACCATGGGCAGCCGCGGGGAATACGGCTGCTCCGTGGACGAGCTGCGGACTTTGATGGAATATCGTGGGGCAGAAGCTCGAGAAAAATTGGATACTGAATATGACGGTGTCGAAGGATTATGTAGGAAGTTGAAGACCGATCCAAATAATGGGCTGCCTCAGGATAAGGATGAACTTGATAGGAGGCGAGTAGTATTTGGTGCGAACGAAATACCGCCACATCCGCCGAAATCGTTTCTGCAGCTTGTTTGGGAAGCGCTTCAGGTGACTTCGTTGATATTCTTCGTTATATATATGTTGTTTCAGGAAATTCACTGGGAGATAGAAAATTAACGTGACACAAATAAAGAGATAGGTGTGAATGTTCTATGAAGCACTCATGTAATTGTTTTCATTTTAGGATGTGACTTTGATTATTCTGCTTGTGAGCGCCATAGTATCCCTTGCGTTATCGTTTTATCGGCCACCCGATGATGGTTTAGGAGGTAATGTTTTCATGAAAGTTTGCCGTTTTTATTTTTGTACACAGTTCTTGTTCATACTGAAGTGATAATGTCTTGATATATTTCAGCAGGCTCTGATGATTCGGAACATGAAGCTGGTTGGATCGAAGGAGTTGCAATCTTAATTTCAGTTGTAGTTGTTGTCCTCGTAACAGCTCTCAATGATTATACGAAAGAGCGTCAATTTAGAGGTAAATTATACATAGTGTTTTTCTATCCTGTCTTCATCATATCTCTATTATACATGAGTATTTCTGCATGGAATACATTAAAATACCATTTTCTCAAACTTTTTCTGAGTTCTTTGAAGTCTTTTATTGTTGCATTAAAGTTAAGCACTTTTACTTTGTTTTCCGCGGCAGTCTTGAAGTAAGCTTTCAAACTAGAATTCATAATTTCAGGCCTTCAAGCGAAAATAGAAACTGAGCATAAATTTGCTGTCATCCGTGGTGGGAATCAAATACAAATCGTCGTTAATGAATTGGTTGTCGGAGACATCGCTCAAATTAAATATGGTAAACGTTTGAATATCTGTCCATGTAAGAGATTAAGGCTCAGGTATCCACTGAAATACGTGAGTTTCATGTGACGAAGGCTTTGAAAATAAATTTTTGTTATTTTTATGTTGTTCTAAGTAAATTTAATAACTAAAACGCATGTTGACATGAAATGCGACCTAGACATTTTAAATGAAAAGTATATGTACCGTTAAACTGTCTTTTTGTTCCGCTTCTCACTTGTTTGATTTAAAAATGCTTTCAAACCTCCAGATATCTTTAGATGTGATCAGATGAACGGGAAGCTTCGTCATAGTTTCAGCGCTGGTTACGACAGTTATTTCAATTCCTCAAAATTTTCTTAGAAACAATAATTATATTATTATTTAAGGCGATTTACTTCCTGCCGATGGCATCCTTGTGCAGAGTAACGATTTAAAGATTGACGAGTCCTCATTAACGGGTGAATCGGACCAGATTCGTAAAAGTCCTGAATTGGATCCCATGCTTCTGTCTGGTATAATTTTTACTGATCACTATGATTGCTCGCTTTTCACTTTATTGTTATCAGTCTTTAACACAACCTGGTACAGATATTTCTCTCTCTCTTTCCTAGCAGTTTTATCCATTCAGAATCAGCTCTATTTCAACTACATTTTTGTCAATAAATAGGATGAATAGCAATTATTGAAAGATTTAGTGCGAACAATAACGAACTATTTTCATACTTTCATTCTGCTCTTGTTTGTACAGGTACGCATGTGATGGAGGGAAGTGGAAAAATGGTTGTTACGGCAGTGGGTGTTAACTCGCAGACAGGAATCATCATGACTCTTCTTGGTGCAGCCAAAGATGTCGTGGAAGAAGAACGTAAAGCTGCGAAGCGTGAAGGTAAGTAATCTTGCTAATTTATTAGCGAGAAATATTTAGTTGTATTTTTGCAAGAATTAGTCGTTTTAATGATAGAAATGGAAGTTAGAAGGAAATTAGTATGCATGTTAGCGTTATATTATATTTTAACCCTAGCTATTAGCTTATTTTCATTGATGCCAATCGGTATCAAACGTTGTGGTAAGGGTATTGGTACCGTGGATTACACGTATCGTTTTTCCCGTGCTTTGACATTAGCGGACTGCCTCATTAGTATTACACGTTCTTCACTTTTCCTTGCTCTTTGTCGTTATCAGCTTATTTTCGTCTAGTTCAAGGAAACATTGTTATTATTATAGTTATGTCATTTTTATTAATTAATCATAACAGTTACTCATAATGAATAATTGGATGCGTAACTCCCATTTCTTTGAAAATGGAAAAAATGCTTTCATTTTTCTTCTAACTCATACTACTTATTTTACACACTGCACACAAAATTAGAATAGTAATATCTTTATTACTATTTTATCTAATATCCTTCTTCAGAGCGTCGGGCACGTCGAAAGAGCAAAGCGTCTGGTAAGACTTCAGTACCATTAAGCATGTTATTTTCCTTTATTGGCATTCTACAAAACACCTTTCTGAAAGGATATAAGGGGAAAAGTAGTATTTCGAACATATAGTATGTATTTTCTTCTGGTTTTTTGAATTAGCTCATGCATAAGAAATGTACGTGCAGCATACCTGTCTTTGTAAATTATTTTTCTGTTCGTTCTTCAGGATTCTCTGAGAACCAAGCACGGCAAATAAGATGACATGCACCATAGCCGAGTGTTTTTTTATTTATAAAATAAAGCAATTTCTTTTTGTTCCTGATGATTTGATTAGTGAATAGGCAGCAGATGACGTAGCCTCTCACTTTCGCCAGGCATATAAGACAGATTTTTTGATTGCCTTGTAAAAATGAATATCGCTTCCTTGGTATGAAAAATGCTCCCAATTTGTTCAGTAAAAAGTGCACTGTGGTGTGCATTTGACTGCATCTTGGATGATACATTTCACTTATTTAGTAAATACTTTCTTGACGAAAATCAAAGATATTCATCAGACAATTTTTAGGATGAAATATTATTAGCTCTGTAGGAATTTTTATGCACCGCTCACACTCTTTGGAATTAACCACAATTATGTATATATCACTAACAATATCATTTCATTAATTCACTCACCTGTTCATCATATGATGCATTTCATGACTATAAAAACATAAAGTTTTGATAGGAACAGCAGTAAGATTCTTCACAATGAGCGGGATAAAATGGAATTTAATGACTAATATGTAGAACTTTTTTTTTTTCTAATGAAACTATAAAACCGTATCTGACATGCGGAACCCCATCATGCGTGCTGCATTGAGTGATCGGATACATGTAATGATTTTGGTGATTCAACAAACTCTCAATTTTTTCCCGTCATTTGCATTTCAAGCTTTCCCGTTGAACACAGACATACAAACACAAACTCAAACATAAATGCATATGCGAGTACGCACGCTTACTATTATAATTTCATTGATTTTCTTTTCTAACCATGGCTTGAATGACTTGGATTTTTGTGAATGATTTGGACCTCTTTTTTGTTTTTGTTATATTCTTTCACGGGCAGGTAAATGTTTCTGTATATTGTTTTTTTTTTTTAATTTTCACTTTTTTTTTTGGCATGAATAAGGAAGTGGTGAGAAGTTTTTTGTTTCAGTTATATCTAAAATTATCTCCGATGGGAAGCGAATGCGAGTGGAAAAATGTCGTTTCAATATTGTTGCTTACGCAGGCTTTTTACTCCATTATTATTTGATGCTAACCTTTTCGTGTAGCAGTGTTTGAAATTTCAGGCGATGCAGTAGCAAGTGCGGGAGTTGAAGACGGAACTGCACAAGCTCTTCTGACTGATCGTGAGTTTAGAAATGCCTCTTTTTTTTTAAAATCATACCTAATTTCAGCAGCAAAAAACTAATGCATCATGATGTAGTTTGTTTTGATTACTGGAATTGATGATCGAGTAATTTTGATGACAGCGTAAGTTCTCTTTAAAAGGTGCAGCATTTAATGACTGACTAGTTAGTTAGTTGATCTTATAGTTAGGTGAACTTATACCACCAACACTGTTTGTTGAGTCATTTCTTATGCATATATCTGTTACTTGTAATTTTTCCAATCTTCAGTCTATAGTGAGATTAGATAGCACAGTGTAATTCATGAAGTAGTGGTACGATCAGATTAATGCATTACGGAAATACGTCAGTTTGCTTGAAATTCTTTCGAAAAAAAATCTCCGGAGAAAAAAGTTGAACTTCTTGTAGTTATTTTGTAGGATTACCTTTGTTCATTGATTAGCACTTGAAATAACGCGAGCAAAACGCATGCACGCGAGTGTTTTAGTACGCCTTCATTAGTTACGGTTTTTTTTCCTTTTTTTTGCTGCACATTTTTTCAGATTCGTAGATTAGAAATGAATTTTGTGAGAAACAGAGTTTTGACGGCTGTTGGTGGTTGTTTTGCATGAAATCATTTTTTTATATTTCTGCACATCATCATTGATTATTTATTCTTCAATTTCATATAATTTTTGATGACACATGAACAATACAACGTTATTTTATGAATTTTTCCAAAAATTATATGCAGAATTATTCGTTTACTGGAATACGGTTTAGTTCACATAATATCGGAAAGTTTTTTTGAAAATAAAAGCTATTTCACCTGCTGCCATAAAAACTGCAGAAAATTGAGTGCTCATTCCAGCAATTGTTTTTGACGAAATTTTTCTTGCCCCACTACTAAAATCTAGGCCCAGAATTTATGTCAATTGGGATAGTTTCTAGCTTACTGAATGAAGGAAAGAACTAGAAGGTACGAAAGGAGGTTAAGACAAAAAAAAATGAGGCAAATGAAAGAGGACATATCTTACTACCATTTTTCATCTACCTAATTTACGATTTTCAATGCTTGAGTGCTAAAGTTAGAGGAAGAATCCTTCCCTAATATTACTTTTGCATTTTAAGTTTGAAATCATTTTTTCATCAGATTAATGCTAACAGAACCAAGCGCTGTGATTGATTTTTTCCTTTCAAAGTATAAAGTGGTTTTCATTTTCAGATGTGAAGGCAAGCGGTTTAACAGAGGGAAGTAATGGTGATTTGGGTAATGAGGCTATAAAAGATGAAGTTGAAAGCAAAAAAGAACGGTCCGTTTTACAAGCTAAACTCACACGTCTCGCCATTCAAATCGGTTACGCAGGTGTGGTTTTGTTACTTTCATTAATAATTTATGCAAGATAAAAATCTTAACTCAGTAAAGTGTCTGAAAGTATAAAGTAATGTTTATATTTGATTTGAACTTGAGGAATATGATTTTGGGCATAACAGTTTTCTGCTTAATTTTCAGGATCGTTTGTGGCTGGCTGTACTGTTCTCATTCTTGTTACACGGTTTTGCATTAGTCGTTACATGATTGAGGAGAAGGCATTTAGTTTGGCAGACTTCCAGCATTTCATTAATTTCTTGATTATTGGCGTAACTGTTCTTGTTGTTGCCGTTCCAGAAGGCCTTCCTCTTGCTGTCACTCTTTCTCTCGCATATTCTGTCAAAAAGGTAATATCTCGCAATGTTTGGGAGTTATTACTTGAATTGGAATGCAGCTTACCGTAAGCACTAAATTATTCGGATTACTAAATACAAACAAAAGAGAGTGACGTTCATTTTATCCCAGATGATGTTGGATAATAATCTTGTTCGCCATTTGGATGCTTGTGAAACAATGGGTAATGCAACAAGCATATGCTCAGACAAGACGGGTACCTTAACAACTAATCGAATGACCGTTGTGCAAAGCTACATCAACGGTAAGTGATTGAGAAGGTTGAGTCGAATCAAAGTACTTGAAAACATAAGATATGATCAATGAGATCATTGTAACTGTTCAGTTACTGCAACATTTTTCTTAGCAGTGCTATTTTTTCTGTTTTATTTCATTTTTTTGCATCAATTTTAGCTACATGCAGTCCTTTGAAAAATGCAACTAATTGTTTTAATCCATCTGCGGATTAGAATGTTTCTGTCCAATCGTTACAAGTTAACAACATGATGGGTTCTTGTTGATTTAAATTCTCTGAACCGTGCCTTACCTATGTCCCTCAATTAAACTCTAATTGCTGGTAATTTCGCAGACTTATGAGTAAGGTACCAGTGTTTCAGAAATTCATTATAAGGAGACACCAAAGTTCGAGTCATTGAATAAGGAAACACGAGATTTATTAGTAAATTTAATATCGATCAACAGTAGTTATGCATCTCAGGTATCTTGTTTCACACAAGCATATTGTTCGTTTCTTTCCATTTTTCTCTTTTTAACGATCAGTAAGAGACTTCTGCAAAGAATTTCTGGATGTTTTTCTAGAACATTCAAAAAAAAAAGGGAGCCTTTTCCTGTCTTGTTATTGTCGGTTTAAGGGTCAAAAGTTAAAATAATGAGGTTAAAGGGTTGTTCAATTGCATCACTTTTTATTTTGGATTTACTGTAGTGCTTTTTTTTAGGTTGTACCTGCAAAAAATCCCGGTGAACAACTCACACAATTAGGTAATAAAACTGAATGCGGTCTTCTGGGATTTGTCCTTGCATTAGGACAAAGCTATCAAGCAATTCGAGACAAATATCCTGAAGAGAAGATTTTCAAAGTAAGTTATTAAATGCGTTCCTACTAAAAATGTTCGACACAATTTGTTACGTTTAAACTTTCTTATCCAAATACAAGTAATTTTTTCAAATTTATAAAATTCTCATCCATGTATGGATATTTAGCAAAATCTGGTTTTCAGGATTATTAGTTGAAATAACGGTCTTTTCAACAAATTTTATCATTTTTTTCCGGTAGATTTGCTAGCGTCCTTGTTGAAGATATATACTTCATGATGATTTCAAATTCATGTTGTTTGCAGGTTTATACATTCAATTCTGTTCGTAAATCAATGTCTACTGTTATCGAATTGAGGGATGGCAACCTTCTTACTGGTTATCGGGTATTCAGTAAAGGAGCATCTGAAATAATTTTGAAGAAGTTTGTTTTAATTTATTAGCTAAACAAGGAACATTCATTCGTGTTAGTCATGGTAAAAGCTTTGACAAGTAATTGAAATCTGATAGATTTCTTTAGTATTTAAACTTGTCATTTCAATTTTGACGGTTACTTAATTGTTGACTGATGATTCATTACAAGGTTGCTCATTATCATCAACAAGACCAAGTGCATTTTAATGAAGAATAATTTACTGGTTAATGAAATTGCTTTTTCCAGATGTAGATGGTTTATCGCTAAAGATGGCACTCCGAAAAAATTTTCACAGAAAGACTGTGATCGTCTTGTCAGTAATGTTATTGAGCCAATGGCTTCAGACGGTTTACGTACCATATGTCTTGCATACAAAGATTATGTTACAAGAAGTGATAACATACAAGAAAATCAGGTGCATTTTGTTATTCTCCATACATAATGTCAAACTTATCTGAAGTAGGACCAGAAGGTTTATTTCTAATTGTGATATATCTTACGTGTTCAGTCACTAATGATTTCAGATTCATGCTACAAAAGAAATTGACTGGGACAATGAAGATGCTGTTATCAATGATTTGACTGCCATAGCTATTGTAGGAATTCAAGATCCAGTCAGACCAGGTTTGCTTTACCTTTGAACATTGATTATATATATTATTTGTAGTGGCATGACTGATTCCCTTAGGATTTGACTAATATTAATTGTTTTGCAAGTAGCCAAGTTTGGGATATCCGTGCTAATCCGATATTCATCCTTTCTTAATCAGTGGTACTTGTATCTGTTGTGATTTACATTATAGAAGTGCCGGAGGCAATAGCGAAATGTCAACGTGCTGGCATAACTGTACGCATGGTGACAGGCGATAACATCAATACTGCTCGATCAATTGCTACAAATTGTGGAATTTTACGTCCTGGTGAAGATTTCATCGCTTTGGAAGGCAAAGATTTCAATGCACGAATTCGAAATGAAAAAGGCGAAGTATCACAAGAGAAGTTGGACACAATATGGCCTAAATTACGTGTTCTTGCTCGAGCGCAGCCATCCGACAAATACACACTCGTTAAGGGCATTATTGATAGTCGCATTACGGATAGTAGGTAAGTTGATACATTTATAAATATAAATCAAGTTGAGTAACAACACATACAATTCAGAGTTCCGACTAATTTTAGACATGATTTAAAATTCATCAAAGTGATTGCAGGGAAGTGGTAGCTGTAACGGGAGATGGCACAAATGATGGACCAGCACTGAAAAAGGCAGATGTTGGCTTTGCTATGGGTATCGCTGGTACAGATGTCGCGAAGGAAGCATCCGATATTATATTGACAGATGATAACTTCACTTCCATTGTCAAGGTGCATATTAACAGTGGTGTATTTTAGCTTCCTTTCATTTTTACGTGTTTTATTCGGGAAAAGGATTTTTTTTCATGCTTGCAAATTTGCATAATATTAATTAATGCTCACTGGAAAATGATTTAGGATAAGGTTTTTGGATTTAATTCCACGGAAGAATTTTATTACGATGTAGCTTATTTGCCAGAGTATACTGAGATGTTCCCTTTTTATGTTGCTGTGGTGGTTGGATCTTCTGACGGATTTACCAATTAAGGGATTAAAGTAAATGTTAGGCAGTAATACCGTGAGTCTTCTTCGGAAAGACTGTGTCCAATTGTGTGAAACATTTGTGTCACCATGAAGACACAAATCTCGTCTTGGTACAATGAAGAATTAGGCGACTCAAGTAGAGATACCATCGTTAAAAAGGAAGTCAAAAAAGTATAATTCAGATCAGATTTGATATGTATAGGCTGTACCAACAATCTGATGTTTTTAAATGGAAATAATTCCGATTTAAGATAAATAGATAAACCTTCAATTTTTTCAGGCAGTTATGTGGGGACGGAATGTTTACGATTCAATAGCGAAATTTTTGCAGTTCCAGCTTACTGTGAACGTGGTCGCTGTTGTTGTTGCATTCGTTGGTGCATGTGCCATTCAAGATACTCCATTAAAAGTTTGTGTTTTAATTTTTTGTCCGTAAAAGTCTTATATTTTTTCTCATACATACAGCTTGTCATCAGGATAGGTACATGCATCGTGCATAGTATAATTCTTAATTTTTTAGGCAGTACAGATGCTTTGGGTAAATCTTATCATGGATACTCTAGCATCATTAGCTTTAGCCACCGAAATGCCAACGGAAGATCTGTTAAAACGAAAGCCATATGGACGCACCAGTCCTCTCATATCCCGTACAATGAGCAAGAATATCTTAGGTCATGCATTTTATCAGTTAATCATCCTGTTCGGCCTCATTTTTGCAGGTAATGGTAATCTTAATTCATCGTTGTCTTAATCTTACTTCATAACTTTCCTAAATTTTTATTCGAATAAGGAACTGTATTTTGTCATGTGCTTGTTCATTTAATTATTTGGAGCTTTTCTTTCTTTTGGGAAGTTATTATAGTTCTCTTAACAAACTATATTCTAGCGTTTTTGTTTTTGAATCTCTGTGTCTGATTCTAAAACATTTATTGATAATGGGAATGTTGGCGGGAGAGAGAAAGGCAAAGAGGAAGATTCAATAGTAGTCGAGTTTTTTTGTTTCATATCCTTGTGCTTCTCTTAATAGTATTTTTCAGGAGAACGTTTTTTCGAAATTGAGAGTGGCAGGTGGGCACCTTTGCACTCACCTCCGACCGAACATTTTACTATTGTTTTCAACACCTTTGTTATGATGACACTTTTCAATGAAATCAATGCACGGAAAATTCATGGCGAAAGGAATATTTTCACAGTTCATATTTTGCTATCTTTTCATTAAATTACAAGTGAACGACTTTACGTCAAGCCCTACCTCAGCAACAATTCTCGAATAAAATTCCTGACTGCTGTGTGACTTCAAAGCGAGAAATTCTTTTATCTTAAAAACATCATTTAACAAATTATGATTGCGCTAGTTAGCTTGCATAATCAAGTTTCATTATATCAGTGCAGTACCATTCTGATGAATATATAGTGACCTGAAAATTGTCATACTATAAAATGAGTTACGGATGAATAGAACAGACAAAATTAGTTACATTTGACCTAGAGTACATGGTTCCTACTGTAATCATTACGTTAGACTTATCTGTGCACTCAGTTTAAATACCACTTAATTATTTTGTTGTGATTATTAGCATTTTCGAGGGTTTTGCCATTCTAGGGCTTGTTTTCAAATCCCATCTATTATATTATTTGGATTGCTACAATGATTGCACAAATATTTATTGTGCAATTTGGCGGACGTTGGTTTTCAACAGCTGCATTAAATTTGGAACAGTGGTTATGGTGCTTAGCATTCGGCGTTGGTGTGCTATTATGGGGCCAAGTAATTTGCTTTTCTTTTTCAGTTTTCATTTGCATTTTGAATTAGCTGAGTCGATAGTGGTTGCACGGTAGTAATGTTTTCCTATGACATTTTCGCAATCTATGGAAAAAATAACTTACATTCTTACAAATAGTAATTGTTCGTACCATGTGATCAGTTATTAACAGTCCAGAGATTGTATTTCAATAGTTAGTGAGTGGTATTAGAGGGACATCTCTTGAATATTTAATGCAGACACTGGTCGGAGGGAGGAAAAAGAAAAAGGAAGGTAAGTTTAGAGAAAATGCGGAACTAACAGACTATTTCTGTCTATTTCGATGTCAAAATGATGAATTAAAGAAAAAAAAAGAATGATTTCCTGGTCATTTTCCTTTTCTCCTAGTTCATTTGTGCCCTAAAACTTCGAGATTTCGTAAGATTTAGGTAGTAACAACAATACCAACTTCTGGTTTGCCGAAAAATATGGCAATAGGTGGTGGTGATGTGACATCAACAGAAAATATCTTAAGTGGCGAATATGAAGACCCTGCAACACATGAGAAACGTTCTGGACAAATTCTATGGATCAGAGGATTGACACGACTTCAAACACAGGTAATTTTGTTGCAACCTGGACATTAATCTGGTATCTGGTGGGTTTACTTATATAGGTTTTTTTATTTATGTGTGTGTACGTCTTTTTTCTTGTCCCAGTCTGCAATACTGGGTGAATGTGTTATTCAGCGTTTCTTAATTAAAATATTTGAAAGTTTCACGTTTCTTCGAAAGATACGTTAGCAAAGGGAGATTAGTTGATACAAATCAAGACAAACTAGAAGAGACTACGTATTGATTGTGGTAACTGCTCTCCTCATCCTCAGAGACTGCGAGAACTTTTCGTGACTATTTGTTTTCGAATTTATTTCTTAATGCTTCATAACTGTTTTGTTTCGGTTAAAAAAGTTTTTTTCCGGATTTTCTTCCGGATTACTGTTAAATTGGAACGACCGGGAAGCCGCTATATTTTGGGAGCATTATTTCTGAAATGAGTGAAATTAGTGTTGTTCCCAGCAGTTGTTCTTGTGTACTTTTACTTTTTTTTTTTTTACTAAAATTTTGTGGACTTATGATGGTACTACATCGATCATTTAAGCTAATATTCATATCGGTCTTGCCTTTTTTTTGTCCTAGAGATTTTTACCAATGTGAACATTTATTGTTCGGTCTTTTTCTTTCGTTTGTTTAAAATGTTTTTTTTATTTTTTTACTGTTTTTGATAGTTACCAGATCATTTGTTTGTTGTTTTTATTGTTTGACAATATTTCCCATTCCGTAAATTGTTCCTAATTTGTTTGTTGTCTTTTCTCTGCACACTAAAAGAGTGATTTTTCAAAATAGTCGATGTGATAATGCAGCAGATCATCAAATGAAGTTTTTTTTTTTTCTTTTGACTTGAGATAATTCGAAGACTGATCAAGAAGTAGGACTACTGGCGTTCACAGAGAAGGGTAGAACTCACTTTTTGAATAACGATATATTACTGTATGGGGATATTGAGCGATATACGATGAAAAATTAATAAAACTAAAGATTTTTTGAATACACCTTTTTTTATTCTTAGAGGTGCTATTAACTGTTGATACGATACGTTCGTTGACTACAGTATCGCGATCGCAGGCGAAATAGGACATTGTTATCCTTTTCACTTATGATAATGAATGCTACGGTTGACTGGCCAAGTAGTATCCGGAAGAGAGAACTCAACTCGGTTACCCTGACTGGTTCATCGGAAAATGGTGCACATATTTGCTGTAACTGAAATAGCATAGTCAAAAATAGCACTGTGGTCACAAATACCATCAATTGCCATACTGTTAAAGATTAAGCGGATATTGATTAAAGACTGTTCGCTCTACCCTTCGCCTTTTGCGTTGATAGCATTTCCTTTTTTATATTATTTATTATGAATAAACTTAGTGAAGTTGACAAATTCGGGGGTTTATTTTTCGAACTTTGTCTTTGACTACACTTCCATTCAATAATGTCTTGAAATTGCTATCACTTTTTTTTTACTGCTAAAATATCTCTTTTTCATCATTTTAAAATATTATTCTACACTCAGTAATACAAGCTATATTCAAGGATTCTAGTTTGTATGCCTTTTAATTGTAGGATATTTTTAAACTTTCGGAATAAATCAGCCATTTTCAGATAAGTAAAAACAATTAAACTTTTAAAGATCAAATAATTTGCAAAGGAGAAAAATATAGCTAAATTTAGTTACATTTTTTAGCTTAAATAGAAATCATTAAATGAAGGAAAAATATGTGCAATTTTTATGGTTACTGTTATTTTCATTGATGATCTAAATAATGATTATCAACTACCTGTACAATGAATTTTGAATTCTCTTGCTACTTTTTGAAATTTATATTTTTCTTTATCTCATCAACAGCATGTTTAGTTCAGTTAATGAGCTTTAAATGCTTTCTACTGCTTTATTTGATTGAATATATTCATAAGATATCTCATTATTTACCATATATTATGACGATTCCTCACCTAGCTAAATATTTAGGTTATATATTCTCCAAAAACTCTAAGGAAATCTATTGTCATCACTATGATTAGCCATCCTAATTTTTTATTACGCTAAAGTATTTGTGTTATTTACCTGAGTCAGGTATTTTAATATGTTCAATCTGTCGCATTCTACTTCATTTTTTTCTCCTCGAGTTATGTTTTAGAGATGGAGAAAAATAATGATTTAGCTGTGAATGCTTCAGGATAAATTCCTGAAAAATTTGGACAGTTTGGAGTCGATATTTTTTAGCAATGGTGCCTTTCAATTTGCTGCATTCCACATCGGCAAAATTGCAGGGCTACACTTTTTTATTGTTTTGTGATTGTAATTTGAAAACAGGTTTTTTATTTGATTTTTATTTTATCTTATTTTTCCCTATTGGATGTCGGATGATATCGATAACAGATTCCATGGATTGCGTGGAAATGTTTATGAAATGTTTTTTATAAGAGGTAGTGGCATGTCCTTTTTCTAAAAGCATGCTTTTTTTAATTTCGAAAATTCTCAGTTGAATATATTTTATCTTGATTTTTGTGTGTTATTTTTACCACCCTCTCAATATTGCTACTCCTGCTGCATGTTGATTTTGAAGCATTCTGCTTTCCCTTTTTTCTAATAATTTTCTAGTTCATAATACCAAATATTGTGCTTTAATTTCTCAACTTTTCACCTAGATAATGTCTTTGTTTTTGAATCAAAATTTAAAAAGTTGTGATTGTGGGTATTACGAGTTATTAAAATTTTGATAATAGAATGCATTAAATGACAATCAGTGTGAAGCGTTTGTTGTGCACCCGTAACATATGCTAAATATTGCATGATTATTTTAGTCCCTAGTAAGTCGATAAGGAATAATTGATGATTGCATCACTTTTTAGCCAACTGTCGATTTTGTTGATAACAGAGTGATAATGGGAGATTTATCGTTAGGTAATCAATGATAACACAATAATTTTTTTCTGTTCTGTTATACTTATCTATCAGAAATGAATTGCTTCGAATCAGCAAGCCATTGATCAATGACAACTCTTTTCCTTTGTACATTAAACGTTTTGGGAGGGTTCTATCTCATATTGTCTCACCATTATTGTTGATCATCATTTGGTCATAATGGAAGGAACGATATCAGATGCATAACTAATTTAGCTGTTTATCATAATAAATATTTGTCTTTTATTGATGCATAAGTTATTAAAATTATAGATTTCTTATTGATTTTTATTTCCAATCAACTTTCTTCCTGTTAAAGCGTTTTTATTTGGAGATTATGACCAAAATTTGTATAATGATTATTTGCTGGTCTTCTGCATGATTAGCGAACTTGACGAATCTCAAGATCATACAGTCAAAGAGCAGCTCTGAATTTAAATCATTTTCTGAACTGGTTGTTTAATAACGGATTAGATGTAAAAATTTGGATAAGAGAACGATGTTGTCATTGATATGATGACTTACTGCTAATGGTTTTTTTTTTATATAATTTAATTGATCGGATCATTTGTTGAGATGACTTTTGCTTTCTTAATCGGTTTTAGAACCGTCTAATTCTTTATTTATCTGTTCCCTTTATTTGTTCTTTCTTTCCTTTTTCTTTTGCAAAATGCTTTTCTTTTCTGCAGCTTCGCGTTGTGAAAGCATTTCGATTATCGCTGGACGAGTTCGAGGAGAAGCGTTCTATTGCCAGTACGCAATCCTGTAACTCGATGCGCGGTGTAGTTGGTGCTGGATGGTCCTACTTATCATTATCCGGAATTAATGTTCCACGTGCCGCCTCGTGTGTCGGACCATTACCAAGCCAAACACGTGTTGCATTAGTGAAATTAATGCAACATACCAATGCTTCACAACCGTACTCCTCTTATCATTCACAACAGTCCAACACACTATCATCAAATCGACCAACACCAAACAAACTCGATAATTCCACTGAACATAACATTGCATTAACAGTACCATCAACAATGGCGACAACAACGCCAACAACAACGGAGAATGACCATGAACTGGCTTCAAATGCTGTGATACTTAGTAATCAACAGATGACTGCAGCACCACCTACAGCATCTTTAGCCACCACTCAACTGGAGAAGGTACCATTGGTACAGCGATGGCGACCATCCAGTGGTTCGAGGATTGGTAAAAGTAACTCACTGGATATTCCAGTTTCAATTGCTCATGTTTAAATATTAACCTTTTTTCTTCGAACTTTTTCCTTTATTTTCATGACTTGAAATTGCCCAGCATTGGAGGATTTTTATTTTATCGTAGACTACTTTCGCTGAAATGATTATTTTTTTATGTTGTCACCAGTTGCTGCTTTATTCACTTTCTGTTTAATGTCTATGTCTCCGTTAAGTATGCATATTTATTTGTAAATATATTTGCGTATACATTATGAAAATATGTGACATATGGAAAGTGCTTCGGTCTCTTGAGGAATAGAACAATTAATTAATAAGCTAATTTACGAAAAAAATAATAATACTGCATCGAAATGACTTTGATAGTATGATACCAACTGGAACATTTTAAGAAAACAAATTGATGGTATAATAAAAATGGCTGCAGGATAGGGAGGTATTAAACTAATCTATCTTTGTTTTTCTTTTTGCTCTTTTTTGAATGAGGATATTCCGGAAGGACCGAGGGTTTTCTTAAACAGAAATGGCTTTTACTAACTGTTGTTTTAACCAGCGGTTTTTCTTTTAATATTTATTTTTAACAAGGAAAATTCATCTCTGAGTTAATTAATAACATGCGAAATACTTTTTTCTTTTTATGCTTTTTTTTTTTTTTTTGAAAATTTACAGCATGGAGCATTACGTTTTTTCATTTTTTGAGTTTTTTTCGCTTTAAATTTCGTTGTTTAGCAATAAATTAGTTTATGTGATGTTATGATTCTCTCTTACGATTATTAAAATGATTTAAGTTTTTTCTTTTTTTTTTTATTTATCTTTTTAGTGCCATTGAGGTCATTGTACTATAAAATTTAGTTTATATTATAAAAGAAAAAAGAAAAAAATTCTGTTTA